ACATGATCTTTTGTCATTAAATCTGGTGGAGGAAAAAAGGAGGCAGTAGAAGGTACTGTATTGATTTGAATACAAGATAAGCTTCCACCTTTCAGCAGGGGAAAAAATGCCCTTCAGTTTATATTCACATACCATCAACCCCCTCTCCCCTTCTCATTAAATACACTGGCTATCATTAAACTGCTGCTAGAAGCAGCATGTGCTCAGTCATGGAAACCAACTGTGAAGCTGATTGAATGCAGCCCATGCTGTGTGTAAAACATATGGCCCTTATTGGGCAAACACTAATGGGAACCTACCACAAGGCTAAGTTAGTGCAACCCATCTGTGTGCCCAGGAGTGCCCATAATGTTCAGTTCCTCTTAAGCAGCAACTGTTTTGGTAAACCTACATCAAATAATATTTCAACTTTCTCTTTGCTCCCACAGCTCAGCTGTACTTTTCTTTCTCGTTTCCAATGATTCCTGTTTCTTCACCAACCTTGTCGGACAAACATCACCAAACTTCTGTGTAGTAGAGAAGCTCTGTCAGCCTGTTGCATCTGATTAGTGTGGTCCTGCCTTCTATGGGGTGGAGACGGACCAGGTAGCTCTGCACCTGATCTGCATATAAAATTTTGGAGGGTCCCAGGACTTGTGACAAGAACACCCAGTTCCAGTCATGAGTGGGGAGGTAATTAGCACGTGGCTCCTTTGTAGTGGGTGTCTGGAGTATACATCCATACTGAGCAATGCTGGGTTTTGGCGTCACCATGGCTTGAAATACCGCTGACTCTGCTGTGACCCAGCCCAATGAACTATATGAAAAGTCTGGACTAAATTGCCCATTTCGTACTATGTATAAATAGGTATAATTGTTGCTTGGGGAGGAGCCTCCCTAGCTTGCTCCTGTGGCCATATGGCTGAGGGCAGACAAAACGTAGGGACATCCGAGCTCCAGGCCTCCAGGCTTGGGCCTGCTCATAGGATGCCTGCCAAAAGACTTTGGAAATATCTGAAGCCCCTGGTGGGGGTGGAGGATGTTTGCCATCTGTAGGGCCACTTATGGTCCTGGACTGACTCATGGATTTGGATTTGATTTAACTGATTTGGCTTAGAACATGAAAAATTAAAAAACAAAACAAACCTATAATTGTTGCTCAGAAATATGTTTGTGTAGTATCTCTGCTGAAATTTGCAACAGTCAGAGTTGGGGCCAGAGTAAGAGCCACAGCAGTCTCCTGTTCTCCACTGCAGTTTCTTTTCTCGTCTCAGTCCCTTCTCTCTGCCCCCCCTCCCCCTTGTGTCACATGCAGCTTACTTCCACATTGTGTTTGAGAAAGGAACAGAGCCTGAGCAGGGTCTTGACAGTAAAGGTGGGGAAAACTGCAGGGGGAAGAAGGGGGTGGGGGCAAAGTGTAGGGGGCCACCTGACCTGCTCAGCCATTATTTTTCCTGCTGTGGTGGTAGGAGGGGGCTGAATTCAAGACAGTGCTCCAATAATGAGATTCTGCACCTGGCAAATTATAACAAATTTAACATTTTTCTGTATATAGAATCTAATGATTAGTTGGTCATCTTATTTTCAGAGGCATCTTACATTCAAGTAAATATGGTACTTGAATTATTTATCTAAATCAGTTAGCGCTCCATTTTTAAAGTGAAAGAAATCTCTAAGTTCTGATTAAATTAGTTCTCTCCAACATGCTTTTTGACATAAAGGAATGTGCACAAATCAGGTTTCAAAATGGAGTAGCTGAGAGACAAATTTTGAGTGACTAGACAAATATTGCAGAGAAAACTCTCATTAAAGCCATGCTCAGACCCCTTAGGTGCTAGCCTCTTAAATTTACCAGTGAATCACAGTGGCTCTTTTACATTTCTTAGTTCAAATTTTTACTTCAGTTAGCTGGAGATTAAAATGTTTTACAAAGGAAAATAGGACTTTTGAAATCTACAGATGGAAGAAGTACCAGATAAATGAAAAGCTTTTCTCTGAACTGTTTTTTTCATAGCATAATTAAAAATTAGTGACTGGGCGAGAAGCAGAGTTGCCTAGTACAGTAGGATTTGGCTACAGACCTAAAATATTGGGAAGTTAATGTTGAGTATCAAAGCAGGAAAATTATTACTTAATAATATCATAGATCTTAATACTACTCACATGGTGAACAGGCACATGATGCCTGTTGCTTATAAAGAAATGTATGTTATTAAAACACAGCATCCTTAATTTAGACCCAAAATAAACTTTTCACCATTAACTTCAAAATGTTACCTATGTTATAACATATTTTTCCTGTAAAAAATGCTTACTCTTTTTTCCTCAAGTGCTGCAGTGCTAAGTATTTCTTTTAAAAATGATAAATTTATTGAATATTTTTGTTTCTCATTTCACAGAGGAAGTAATCAAATCTGTACATTTTTAAAATAAATACCAATATACATATTTATGTAGCTCTCTCTTTTCTCTGTTTGCCATCTTTAATGAAAAGATTTCCTATAGGGACTTTGACAGGGGTAAGTAGGATTTGACTTGAGTAGGATTTGACAGAGGAAAAGGCATTGGCCTCCAGGTCACTTAAGGAGGGCATTTATTGCATTCTGAGGGGTGGCCATATGAGCAGGCACAAATGTGCATGCAAAGTAGACAAAAAGGCAGATTGGTATGGCATGACTGGTGAGACAGAATGTAAGGTATCAAAGCAAGAAGCAAAGATAGATAAATAGGAAAGGTGGTAGCATCAAAGAGCCTTGAAAATAAGGATAAGAAGTTTGAATCCAATGCTGTGAAACAGTAAAAGAGCAGAGGCATTCAAGTAAGACTTGATCAGAGTGTTAAAGGAAGACTGTTTTAGCAGCTGCATTTTATATAAAAAACTATTTTTTTAATAAACTTGGGTTCTTGGTTATTTTTTCCTGTTGTTTGCAATTTACAAGAACACTCAGATGTGCAAAGATGCTAGATTTCTGCAAAAGTGAGGGAACTTGATTTCAAATTACGTGAAAAACGTTGTTATGATATACATGGCAAGTGGAAAAAATTAAAAAATGTGTGTGAGCCAACAGCTTTTTTGTTTCCCCAAAATGTCACTGTTTACTTATTTTCTCTTTGAAGACAAATGCGACTGAGGCAAACTTCAAGATGGGAGAGAAAATATATAAAAATATAATCACTGTCAGTATTCCTTTAACTGTGATTGGTCTGTATCTCCTTCACAGAGCTGCTTCTTGATCATGTGAAGTATTAATGTTTATGATTTTGGAATTGAGATATAAAATAGAAATGCAATATCACAAATAAACAGTAATCATTTGAAAGCTCAAAGACTGTCCCTCTGGAAAATCCTATCTTCACTCCATGTTTTTTAATAAATAGGAATATACATGTATTGGCTGCAAATTGCTGCTTTACTGAATTCCATTTACTCATCTTCCTTCCATTTACTTTTCTTCCTCTTAGGTTGTTTGATGTATGCACAGTGTCACGAACAGACAGAGAAACCAAGCTAACACTAGTGTTTGAGCATGTTGATCAAGACTTGACCACTTATTTGGATAAAGTTCCAGAGCCTGGAGTGCCTACTGAAACCATAAAGGTATTAGTCAAAGAAGAGTTGTTTTCTCTTTTTTGTAAACAACATAAGGACATGTTGCATTATAAAGACAAAAAAACAAATCACTAGAATCTTATTCAGACACCAGACCTTTTGCTTCAGCAACAGTTTGCCTACTTAAGAGTTGTTAAAATTGAACAGTGTTTCAGTTCAGACTTGATCTGCAGTGCATTGATTTGTGTTCACTAAAAGACACGGTTTCATTCTGGAAGTATTCATCTTGTTCTCCTTGGCTTTAAATTTATATCCCTACCTCCAGATCCCCACCCTTCTTTACTTTTAATTGTACCAGATTTACCCTTGAAAATGATCAGAGAAAAAGACCTTCACTTAAAATTGTGGTTCCAAACCTCCCCAAAAGGCAGCACTTTATATGTAGTTTTATTTATTTATTTATGTATTGATTGATTGATTGATAGAGAGAGAGTTTGGGAAATGCTAACTTAAATGTAGCAATTCCGTAGCCTTTTTCTTTTGTTGAGGGTGCCATAGGAAAGCACTGCCCAGAGAACCAACTCCGAACCTAAGGCATGTGTTCAAGTATGGGAATTGAAATGGAAGGATTAATATTGTTTCTTCATGGTTATTTCTGATAAGGGGAGTTTGGTTGGGTTCTTCATTCCTCAGAAGCATTTCAGTTCCCCTACTTTCCCTGTTGGCAAAGTCTGAGGGTTTTGACTGGGGTGTGCCAGTATTCCTGCTGGGACTAAAACCTAGAGGTTCCTGACTAGGGTCTTGGCCCTCCACCCAGGGTCAGATCGATTGCCGCATTTGGCATCAGGAAGGAATTTCACTCCATGGCCAGATTAGTATGGACTATGGAGGTTTTTGCTTTCCTTTGTAGTGGGAGTTTTGGCCCTCTTTCTTGGTTCTCTTGAGGGTATTTAACAGCCTTCACAGGAGAAGGACATTGGGCGCTGTTGTCTTCTGGTTATGCCTAAGGCAGGTTAGGGTGCCATCTCTTGTGGTTGTATGACAAGATTATATGTGTAGTTTTAGTAGTAGATTAAACAGGGACTTGCATGGGGTGATTTGGATAAGGATGAATCTGCTTCAGGCACAGGTTGCTTCCATCCCTACTTTTCTGTGATTCTGTGAGTCTGAGAATGAATAAGAGCAACATTTATTTTGTGTTTTCAAGTGCTATTTGTGTGGGTTAAAGGGAAAATACAGTTATTGTTTACATGGTCCGCTCTTCCAATTTCAGCATTTGCGTGGCATTTTCTGTGTTGATTTATGAACTCTGCTTTGCACAGGGACATAGCACAATTAAAATTAACTTGGTCCTGTGTTGACTTGGATATTTAAGGGCCAAGTCCTTCAAATTGTATTCACACAACTGCTCATGGTGATGTCAGTCAGGATTGGCCATCTGATCCTGTTCACAGGATTGTTCCCAGGATCTTACTGTACATGGCTAACCTTCTGGTGATATTCTTTCCATAGGTATCATACCAGATATCAAATGAGGGTAAATCAGTAGAACTCCATTGACTTTGGAGAAGTCCTGACAATTTAAACCAGCTGAGGTTATGATCTTTATATATATCTTTATATAGCTGACCCATTCTTCTCTTCCTCCTCCTCCTCCTCACTTTCTCTCTTTAATTTTGCTTTTTATGCACCTAAAATACTTTAAATTAGATGTTGGTTTATACTTTATTTGTTTTACATTGTTACATTCAATTTAAATGGGCACCCTTTTCAGAACACCCGTTGTACAGAACAACAGTCACTACCATAGAGGTCTTTGTATGGTTCAGCAGTGCATAGGAACAAGATGAGCTGAAAAAGCTGTTGATAGCTTGAATTCAGAGGGTTACTTTTCATTTCATTTTGGAATTTTGACCTGAATTTTAAACAGGGTCTGGTATTTAGTTGTTAAGTATATTAAGTACATTAGAGATAAAGAAAACTGCTAACAGTACTTGTTAAGAATTTTTAAAAATCATGTTTAGTGTATAGTAGTTAGACTTTAAATCAGTTATGGAAGAAACTGTGACAAACATTTGAACAGAGCCTATGTTCTGCTTCAGAAATATCTGTTTTCCTGAGTATATATTTATCTTGCATTCAGTATTGAAATAAAGAATTTCTTTAATACATAAAGTATGGAGCTGTACCAGTGTTCTTTATCTTTGATGTAATGTGCTGACCATTGCAACATGTTGCATTTTATACATGACTTAGGAACATGTGGTCCATTTATTTTTGAGAATGACATACACTTAGAACAAAATCCACAAAAATTTTATGTGGGACATAGGCCCTGTACTAACACAGTAGATGCTTAAGTTTAGAACCTGTCCCTAATCCTGAAGATGCCTGAAGTCTGCAAATGCCCTGGTGACTGACATTTAAAGTTTGTAGGTGTCCAAGAATCTACTTCTGGATATGCCCCAAAACATTTAAGTCTTGGAAGTACTAAGCAGATTCTCTTATGCCTCAGCTCTGTCAAGATACACTCCACCTGACTCCACCTGACTTTCAGAGCATGTCTCTGGGTCAGGCAATACATGGAACAAGGCAAAAAAGAGATATCCTACTTTTTATACAATAGTGGTGTGAGTGCTTGCCCAAAATACGTGAAACCAGATACCGTTCCATTCTCTGTCTGAGGGATTCGAACATGTTGTCCTCCTTTCAGTAGAAATCCCTACTTGTCAGGCTATAGGTTATGCTGGGATGGGGAAGCTCCAAATATCTACTGTTGAAGCTGTTCCACTTTGCATAGAATAATTACAGGTAAATATTAATTGGGCCAGAGAGAAAGAGAAACCATGACACCATGGTACTGTGGTTTGAATATTCACCTTCAAGAGGGGAGAGCAGGGTTCCTGTCCCTTCTCCAGTGCATGTTTAAGTATTTTACATTTAGAAATATTCAATATTCATGGCATGGAATTCAGATATCCCCTCTTCCATGTTAGTGCCCTGACCTGACCACAGGGCTGTAGAGTTATGATCACTCTCTTTGTGGTGCGGTGAATGTTAACTTATTCTGTCTGAAGTTGATAAGTGCCAGCAGAAGAGAATCAGAGCAGCTGTCTCCAGAATACTTATTCCCTGGTAGTTAGGGCACCCTTGTGGGAAAGGGGAGCTGTTACTTCACATTCCTTGGAATAAATGAGGGAAATGAACCAGGGTGTCTCCCAAATTCTGAGTGAGTGCTCTAACTGCTGATTAGATCAGAGCTATCCAACTGGCAGCCTGCAAGGCTGCCTGCAACCCCTGAAGTGTTAATACATGGCCCATAGGCTCCCCCAGCAATGGCTTTCCCATGAGAAAGTGAGGACAGGTGTTATGTGTGTGGTGGGGAGGGAAGAGCCGAGTTTCCTCTGCTGTGCAGCTGCCTATGTGGCTGGGGAGCAGAGCCAAACTACTGCATGTTATGCTTGGCTCTGCCTCAACTGTACTGTGGGTGCAACACCTTTCCCCCATCTCCTGGCTACACATGCTGTGTGAGAGTCAGATTGTCTGTGTTGTGTCAGAGGGACTGCCTTGCATGGCGCACACGGGCAGGAGAGGAGGGAAGCCTGACTGACCAGGGTACACTGAGCAGTAGAGGTGTGTGAAACGGGCCATATTCTATTTGGATTTGGATTTGGCCTGAATCAGGGACAGTGATTCGATTCATTGATTCAGCTCACTGTCCCCGATTCAATTCAGACAAATCTGAATCTGAAGACTTGATGCTGATTCGGAGAATCAACGATTCAGCCATAGACACAACTTTAAATGTTTTTTCTACATACCTTGAGGTACCAGGCACGGCTTGTGAATGCTGCGATGCTGAGGTGGATGGAGCATCCCACAGGAGCGCGTGGGGGGCCTATCATGTGCTCAGCAGTGAACCTGGATGTGGACCAGAAGTACTTCTGGTTCATTTCCGGGTCTGCTGCTGAGAGCGTTGGGGAGGCCCCCGTGCCCCTGTGGGACTCTCTATCTGCCCCACCATCGAAGCATTCATGAGCTACCTGGTGCCTTGAGGTATGTAGAAAAAATATTTAATGTTGTGTCTATAGACAAATCACCAGATCTTTCCGTATCTCTCTGAATTGATTTGGAGGGTTCCAATTTGATTCAGAGAGATTAAAGGGTCTCCTGATTCTATTAGGATTAGGAGATTTGGCCACCAAATTGGACTGAATCTCCACCAAATCAAGTCAGGGACTGTAGCTTTGCACAGCCCTACTGAGCAGCCCACGTGGTGGCTCGTGTGTCATATGCCTGCAAGCTGGCTGTGTTAGCTGAAGGAGGAGCAACACCTCTTCTGCTGGCTGTGTTTTGTGTGGAAGGGCAGGATTAGGAACCTAACTCCAGGAGAAGGTTTGGAGCTATGAATCTAATATGGTAGCCGATAATAGGAGCCGCTTACTTACAGCTCAGAGGCTAGCACCTGAGTCACAGAGAGGGGAAGCATTGTAAACACTTCCCTTGCCTTAATGTTTCCTACTAGCTGGCTTAGAAGGTTCCCTGTTCAGTGTGCTAGCTTTTGTGGATCCCATTCTTAGGCATTATATATGGAATCTGATTTAGGTCTCCAGATTCTACTAAGTGCCTAAAAGTTACACATTGAAATGCTCAGCTTAAGTCCCTTTGTGAATCTAGGCCCTGGAATGCTAAATTTCACTGAAAGCCTAGTAAGTGCCTAAAGCCCCTGGCAGGCCAGATAATCACATCTCAGAGAGTAAGCTGGCCACACAATTATCCCACAAAATGTATGTAATAATTTTGTGGTTGGCTTCCATTGTGCCTTAAATTGAATGCAGGTTTAGGACTGTATGAGGGTTTTGAATATGCCTGAGTGCTACCACTGCCACCGATTGTCAGCTGGCTCTGGGACTACATTGCAGCTCAAACCAGCCCTGGTGTGATTAACATCTGCCAGCTCCAGGCACCTCAGTGGGGCTGTAACCAAAGCCAACTGGAAACTAGTGCTGTCCTGATCACCCAGCTATCAGCTGATTGTCATCTGACTC